CTCTCACACTTAGATATTTTATTTTAAAATAACAATGTATTTGCCTTCAGGCCTGGAAGCTTCTGACCTTGGGTGGGGCTCCATTCCTTTCCCAGACCTCATCTGAGAGTCTCACACAGAATGTTTATTCTTAATAATTTTAAAGATTTTAATTGAAATATTAATACAGAGATTTAACCTTGGGCTGGAGGGAAGACTCAGCAGTTAAAAGCACTTGCTGCTCTCCCAGAGAAACTGGGGTCTCAGTTTTCAGCATCCACATTGTGTGTCTTACAACTACCTGTAACTCCGGTTCCAAGGGATCCCATGCCCTCTTCTGGCTTCCATGGCCACTGCATGCATGTGGAGCACATCCCTGCCCTTAAGTACACACATACATTGATGAGGACTACTGGGGTCCAGCCCCTCGATAGTCCTCTCCTAGTGTCCGAGGAGAATCTACAACCAGCTGATAATCTAATCTTTGATGTATTAAAATGAATCTACATGCACGAAACTCTTTAGTCCATACACCTTATACTTCTCTCTCTCCACAGCTTCTTTTCTGCTCTCATAAATTGCTCCTTTCTTGCCTGATACCCTCTGCCTCTTTCTGCTGTTCCCTCTAAGTGCTATCTTAATTCCTTCATCTTAGTTCTGCCCCATCTTGGGCTTTCTCATCTTGTTGGGCCCTGGCCCCTGTTCTTGGGGAGCTGTTGCCTTGCTTGCTGACCTTGATCAGATGTTAATTCCCTGCTGGATTCATTTCTCCTTAACTGCTTACCGAAGGTCCCTTGTTTGGTATCCTGCATATTGGTGTAATTGCTAGAATGTAAAACATCTGTAGCGAACTTTTGCCCTCCCAGGTTCTCCCACTGTGCTGTAAGTGTGTATTTAAGGCCTCTTCCTTCCAATAAAGGGCATTCTACTGAGACGAATGACCTGCTGTCTTGTCTCTCTTTTTAATCCCCAGCCCCTTGCTCGGACATGGTGAACCGGTAGTAACGCGGGCGTTACTACATCATCTCATTCTTACCCACCTAGTTCTTCCCTATCTGGCTCTTCCTCATCTTCCATCTCATCCTTCTAGTACTCTCTTCTGGTCCTCCAATCTAGTTCTTCGCCATCTCAGTTCAGTTCTTACCCATCTAGTTCTTCCATTCTCTTTTTTCTTCTCCGTCCTTGCTCTGAAAATAAAACTACCTTTCATCCCTCATCTCCCCAAGCTCCCTCCATTTCTGGCAGGGTGGAGGAAGTGTGATCGGTCACTAGGCAACTTCCATCACAACTAGATATACCTGTAAGTAGGAACCCTTTAGTTCTGAGTTAATTGTTAAGGGTGGATCTAAAACTAGAGCTAAGACTTTGGAAAGGAGAAAGTTAAGCTTCCACCAGGCCTTCTCAAACAGTCTGGATGCTTAAGTCTGTTCTTAGAGAATCTGTGAGGTATCTCAGATAAGATACTTTCGTCCATCCGAGGATGGTCCTGGCCAGATGCTACTAATGACGATAATTACAGAAAGGCCTGAAATTAGGGATCCTGGCTGCGTTACTGCACAGAAGGTTATCTAAATATTCCATTAGCAGAGGGGAAATTATGCCCAATGAATGATAGAAAAGCTATAATAGCTCAGGAGAAATTCATGCAGGAAATGGCTAATAACCAAAAGTCAGTATCACTAAGACTCCTTGAGCCTCAGCTTGACCTCTGGAAGGCCCTTGGCTTCTTCCAAGTATTAGCTTGTCATAATCAGCTGAAATCCTACTTTATATTATTGTGGCTTGCAGCAATATATACACTTAAAATAATATTAAAAAAAATAACACTGTTCACAGTAAAGATACCCTATGTTCTAGCATCCTTGTAATCCAAACTTACCTCATCAGCTGTGATCTTGAGAGACACGCCCCCAAGGAGCTGCTTTACCCATGATCTCACTTAAATTCCTTAGCAGCTCTTTGAAATGCTCCTATGTATGACTACCCTAAAAACAATGGCCTGTGGTTCTCGGTTAAGGAGGTTGTACCACACTTGGATATATTCATCAGTGTATCTTGTCTTTTCTTCTGAGTGCCTCATATTCTTTTAACCCTTATGTTTAAATCTACAGTAAAATCTCATTATTAAACCCCAACTCTGCTTCAGGAGAACAAATAGGCCTCCAAAGCGACTTTGGGAAAAGTAGATCCACCATTAAATGGCCAGGGAGTTAAACATCTTGGCTTGGCTTCATTTGCTTCATCTAGTTAGCGTATAGGATCTTATTTGAATTAAATGAGTAACTGGTGCACAGAGTACTTAGCAAGAGCCTGAAGTATAAGGCATATGTTGGGGAAAATGACAACCCAGAGTGGGCAGTCAGCTGGATTCTGTGAATCTACTCTGGGAGGAACAGGATGAATCTCATACTCTGTTGCCATTGGATACCTACATAATCTTGGACAGAAACAAAACAACAACAACAACAAAAAAAAAAAACCCACAGTCTAGCAAGAACCATGCTGAAAATCACACACTGAAGGATCAGGTGAATACAGACTGGGCTTCCACACTGATGGATGGATGAGGAAGCAGGTGGCCCATGTTTCTCTTCAGGTGGCACAAATCTTTACCTTTCAGGAAGATCACATGGCCTGCAGAGAGGCAGGCGACTGGGGAAACCCCACTGGGCATGGGTGTGTGTCTGGTGACAGTTAGGAAGCCTCCTATGCTTCATCCTCACTCCTGTCCTGCCATCACGCATGGGGTGTCTGATTGGGGAAGGCACAGAACATGAGGATGATGGGAACAGAAACTAGATTTAGTACTTCGCTATGGGCCTACCAAGAGGGAATCCTTTGATCCTGGAAGCCTGCCTTCAGTGATCAGAATGACATCAGTAGTAGTAAGTAGACACAAAGATAATTGCCAAGTACGTAGCATTCCCAAGTGTGACTACTGTTAGAATTCCTAGCCACTCCCTTAGCTACATGACTGCGTGTGCGCTGTCCAGTAGCCAGGCAAGACACTTAGTCATCCCAGGGTCTTATGTTCTATGTAATCCATGTGCTGCGTGCTCACATAATCTATGCACATGCATGGCGTAGCTACTTAAGCCTATGTGCACATGTGCTGGGGGGAAACCTATAGAAGCAGGTTCCACCTATTCCTCCCCTCTCTTCCTGCATGGCCATTCCATAGGCCTATGCACACCCCCTCTCTATTCCCTTAATAAACTCTTATAGTGGGTTTCGTTGTGCCTTGTGACTTCTCTCATGGTAAACAGTGCTGCTTAGTAAATAACATTGCATCGCTTAATAAATAACATGGGTACCATGTGTGGGGATATTTTATTTGTACTGAAATGTGGTGATATTTTATTTGTATGTTAATAAACAGAGTTTGTCTGGAGGTCAAAGGTCATAGCCAGCCATAAACAGAAGTCAGGCGGTGATAGCAGATGCCCTTAATCCGATCACATGGCAGGCAGAGTCTCTGTGTGTTCAAGGACACAGCCAAGCATGGTGACACATGCTTTTAATCCTAGTACCAATCATAGAGACCTGGAGGTCTGTATAGACAGGCAGTGATGAGGAAGTGAGGTGGCTGGGCTAAGAGCCAATGAGAAGGCAGAACAGCAAGGCAATAAAGGCGCAGGTTAGACAGGAAGAAGCTGGTTCTCTCGGGGGAAGCTTGGCGGCATGGTGAGTAAGGTTAGCTGGTGGCTGTCAATATTTCTCTGATCTCTATGGCTTTCACCCCTGTATTTGGCTCTGTGTTTCTTATTTAATAAGACTGTTTAGAACTTCGTCTACAGCCATGAGCTCCAGAGCCAGCTTGCATCCATCTGAACAGGTCAGATCCACTTCAGATAAGTATAATTCAAACTTTCCTGGTCCCAGGACCCCTACCTCATCCTGGGACCCCTTGAAGACCTCCCCAAGGTAAATTTTTTTCTAAACTTCTTCTGCTTTGCCAGCACCTTGTCAGATCCAGTCACAGAGCCTGAAGCAGTGGAAGACAATGGACGATTCCCAGAGCAGCAGAGGACAATCCACTACGTTAGGACATCTGGCTACCTCAAAAGCCCCTCCCCCTAAAGTTAACCAACACCCACTGAGTCAGCTGGAAGCAGTTTTGGGAGACACAGCCCCCATTCCTGTTCACTTGCCATTTTTTATAAGAACAAAGAATCTGGAATGTTAGAATTCCTAGCCACTCCTCCCAGCTACATGTGTGCGCTGTCCAGTAGCCAGGCAAGATGTTTAGTCATCCCAGGGCCTTTTGTCCTACATAATCAGTGTGGCTGGAGTTTTCTCTCTGGGTCCCGTCAATCCCCGGCAGTCCGACAGCCCATTTATAAAATAAATACACAGACGCTTATGTTGCTTACAAACTGTATGGCCATAGCAGGCTTCTTGTTAATTGTTCTTCTATCTTAAATTAACCCATTTCTATTAATCTATAAGTTGCCACGTGGCTTGTGGCTTACCGATACCTTACATCTTGCTTGTCATGGCGGCGGCTGGCAGGTCTCTCCCTCTGCCTTCCTGTTCCCTCAATTCTCCTCTCTGTTAGTCCCGCCTATACTTCCTGTCTGGCTACTGGCCAATCAGTGTTTTATTTATACAGCGCGATATCCACAGCAATCAGTGAGTTTTGTGATCACATAATTTGCATGCAGCGTGATCATGTAATCTATGCATGTGCGTGGCATAGCTACATAAGCCCATATGCGCACCTATAAAAGTGGGTCCCACCTATTCCTTCCCTCTTCTTCCTACACGGTCATTCCATAGGCCTAAGCACCCCCATCTGTTCCCTTCCATTAATAAACTCTTAGAGTGGGTTTCGTTGTGCCTCATGGCTTTTCTCGCATGGTAAACAGTGCCGCTTAATAAATTACAACTACCACATGATACGTAAAAAAATGTAACCATAACCTGTAGTCACACCAGCTGAAGATTTGGGATATTAACTACCACGTTAAAAAGTGTCCTCCTGCATAAGGGAACTGAGAACAAAAGACATAATGGATTGCTTCACTGCCAGATTTTATTAGCAGCTACACATAGTGGCCCCTTGTCAACAGGCTCTTAACATGATGTCAGGGTGAGCAGGACGTCCTCCCTCACAGTGCTGGAACTGCAGAAGTTGAACCTGGGGAGAGAAAACACCGAAAGGTCACTTCTTCCTGGCACAGAGCTGGGGCCATTGTGTGAGGCATGGAGACGACTATCGCTCTCCTTGAGTCTGGTTGAAGTGCACACTCTCAGTTGAGGCTGGCCACTGACTTTTGAAGTACTAAATTCTCCCCTCCAAGTTTGTTTTACAGCTGTACAAATAGAAAAAACGAGACGCTACTCTTGGGTGCCCTAAAGATCAGGAAGAGCTCTTTTGTCTGGTCTGTCAAATAGTTACTGCCAAGCAAGGCAACTGAGCAAGAGCAGAGAACAACATGCAACGCAGCCCTGCACAGAGCCCACAGGGTTCGAGGGCAACTCGCTGTTCTTATTCTAATTCAACATTGAACTGCAGTAACTGGATTTCCCTGTAAGCAATACTTGTGACACTTTGGATTTAATTTACTTAATAAAATATATTAGTAGATGTAAAGTGCATGGCCTTTAAAAAGTATTCAGAAAACGCCCATTTTTTTTCTCTTCATTTTGCTTCCCATGGTCTGACAGCTTTGCAAATGTCAGGGTAAAGGTTAAGAACTAATATTAATGAAGGCTACGTGAGTAAATATAGATATACTGAAGTGTTGTAGTTCAGTCATATTTAATGGGCTTGCTGCAGTTAAACTTCGCTCGAATTTTGGCATTGAACTTGTATGTAGTTATTTGTAAAATGGGGATAACTGGGAATTGCCTCACAGGCAGACGTACTTATTACAATAGCTCTACTGAGCATTGGTTGACCCAGAATAAATTCTGAACATTTAAATGAAAATGTTTCTCCAGCAAATCTGTGTTACAAAAGCAGAAATGGGGAATATTTAGGGGGAGAAAAGAGACCATGTGCAGGGGGCAGGGAGGATGGTTTAGAAATAAAAACAATATATTTTTTAAAGGGCTGCCAAGATGGCTCACCAGTTAAGAGCACTCAACTTGCAGGGGACCAGGGTTTGATTTGCAGCACCCATATGGCAGCTCACAGCCATCTGCAATCCCTATTTCAAGAGATCCAACACAGGTCCAGGCATGCACATGGTGCACAGACATACATGCAACACATAAATAAAATTTAAAAATAATAAAAAAGAAATTTAGAGGTTAGAAGATGACTTGGTGGGTAAAGGCACTTGCTGCTAAACCTGAGTACCTGAGTTTGAGCTCTGGGACCTACATGGTAGAAGGAGGGAACTAGATGCTGTATGTTATCCTTTGGACTCCATGTGCACCGAGACACACACGTTTCCCCCCATATAAATATATATATTTACAGTAGGTAATTAGAGTGATCCTTGATGCTGTAATGGAAGTATAACAGTCCTGTTCTGGAGCTTTAGACATTAAGAAGGATCATAAAGACTTGAGTCCAAGCCTGCATCACAGCAGACAGTCTGATGAGCATGAGGGCGGTGGATGTCATGGGTACACCAGAGGAGCTGACTGTATGCTGGGATGAAGTGGGGGCAACGGGAGCTTTCCTTATACTACTCAGAAGAGCATGTAATTTAAAACTATAGATTTTTTTGATCTCTGGAATTTCCATTTAGTACTTTCAACTGAGGAAATTCTGTTGGACCTGAGATAGTGTGACTGCATGGCAGGTTGATGTATGCTTGGCTTTTTAGGAAGTCAGCAACCTGACCTCCAAAGTAGTTGTAGCATTTTCATTCAGTGTTTGCTCCTACTCTATAATCTTTGCTTTTCTTTCCCTGTTTCCATGTCATACTTTGAAAATTCTTTTGTTCCCTTCCTCCCCAATTTGTTGAATTACTGATTGCTTTAGAATTAAAAGCACACATATTTTTTTTAAGTTATCATAGTAAATCTCCAAATGATATTATAGCAGTTCACCTACAGGGTGATGACCCTCCAAGACTGTATTTTTATCTCTCTTTTCCTCCCCTACGTGGCATTGTTAGAATACACTTCACTTATATTATTATTTCTCAATAGTCAATTGCTTTAAAGGAGATTAAAGAATGCCTAAAATATCGTGCATTTTCAAAATAATTTCTCTTTTTAATTTGGTTTTCATGGTTCCTTTCTGTAGATTCATTTCCTACTAGAATAATGTGATTGAAGGTTCTCTATCATTTCCTGTAGTAGTGGATTGCTGGTGAAGAACTGTCTAAGTGGTGGTAGTTTGGAAAGCATTTCCTTCTCATTGTTGAAATGTATTTGTGTGGATACAAAGCCTAAGTTAAGTGGTATGTGTCCTACTTAGCATTAACTATCCATTTAGCACAGCCTAGAATTACCTGGGGATAAAAAGGAGTCTCATTTGAGAAATTCTTTATCACGTTGGTTTGTGGACATGTCTATGGAAGAGATTGTCTTGACTGTCTTAATAGAAATTTGAAGGTCTAGCTCTTGTGGGCTACACCATCCCTTGGGAAGTTGTCCTGGACTGTACAAGAAATGTAGTTCCATGTTCCTGCTTGAATTCCTTCCCAGACTGCCCTCAGAGGTGGCCTGTGAGTGGAAGTGTGAGGCAAATAAACTGACTCTTTCCATAAATTGCTTTAGGTTCCAAGTGTTTCTTCACAGCAACAGGAAAGAAATCAGAATGGAGGTTGCTTCTCTTCAGAACAGTGAAGTGGCTTCTTCTGGGAGGAGCTGGCTGTGGCCTTTGTCTCAGCTTTTCTCTGTGCTGTCTTTCCCTCTGGCTGCTTTTGTGAGCTTCCCTGTTATAACTGGTTGTGAATGATTTGGTTTGGATGAGTGTTAGCTGTGTTCTCTGGATCTGTTGGTTTATAGTTTTTCAATACTTTGCACAATTTTGGAGACATTACTTTTACAAATAGATTTTTTCTGTCCCTCTTGTCTATCTGGTCTTCAAAAACAGCTACATCATCTGTCTTGCATTTTCTAGTAGGTCATGATACTGTTTGTAGTTTAGAAATGGTTTTCTTTATATCTCATTTTGTGTAGTTCCCATTTTGTCCTTATGAATTTTTTATTCAGTTTCTAAGCTATTCATTGTATTTTAATATGAGACACTGTATTTTTAATCTGTAGAATTTCAACTTGGCTCTTTTTGCACATCTGCTTTCTTTTAATTTTGTTGAATAAGTGAAATGGAAGTGGAATAACTCCTGAGTTCTTATATGTTGTCTAACATCAGCGTCAGCTCTGACTAGACATCAATTTGTTGGTCTCTTCATCTTAAATTATATCACCTGGTCTCTTTGTAGAGTTGTCAATCCTTGAGTTACATTTCCACATGTGACTGTTAAGATGTTCCCTGATGGATAATTTTATGTCTCTATAAATCTAAGTTTGTTCTGAGATACAATTTGGTTGCTTGGAAAGAATTTGGTCATGTCAAATCCTGCTCAGTCTATGTAACTCATTCCACACCATGAAACAGGACCTTTGCAAGTGTTCTCTCCAATGTCAGCAGATGACAGGCATTTGCACTCTGCCTGGTGGGAATAGGCCATGGTCCCACTGCTGGAGAGAACAGGGCACTGCCTCCTCTAACCCTTCCAAGTGGCTTGTTCCCTGGGCATGACTGGCTTGCTCACACATATGAGGAAGCTTTCTAGACCTTTTTCTAAACTTTCTAGACCATCCTTCCTCTCCACCTCTCTATCAGGCTGTGCTTTGACATCTAGTTGCCTTGTACCTTCTGACCATTAGCAAGCCTGAGGCATATTTCTGTTCCTTGATAAATTAATGAGTTCCCAACAACCTATGTGGGAATTTGGTAAACCCATGAAGTTTAGGAGACAACACACACACACACACACACACACACACACACACACACACACACACATATTAGTCACACACATAGTCTAAGCCTGTATGGTAAAGGAAACATTCTTCTCCCTCCTCTAAGAATCTGTCAAAGTGACATTCCTAATATTTGACACCATCTCATAAAAACACACGAGGTCTTAGGAGGTAGACCTGGCTAGGGCATGTGACTCTGTAGGAGATGTAGCCTCAAAGAAAATGCTAAAGAGAAGAGAATGATGAATGCTCCTTAGCCCTTCTCCTCCCCTGTTTCTTACACTCTGCCATCATTTCTTTCCACTGTGATGCTCGATGCTCCCACTTTGGGTAGAGTTGGGTTGATCACGTTGTTATACCAAATAAATTTAACCTTCTGTACATCCCCGACATCCACATCAGAGTCAATCTCACTGGTAAGAGTCTTTCCAGGTTGGAGATAGCCCCTGGGGAGTGAAGATGGTAACAACAATAATATGCAGCACACAGAAACACATGCATAAATAAACACATGTGTGACACATTTGTGCATAAACACACATGTGACACGTGTATGTATGAGTTTCTAAAAGCTTACAATGCTTCTTGGGTTAAGTGCATTGATAGGCATTTGTCTTTCTACTGTATTAAATACATTCCCACATGTATGTTAAGTGGTGGCTTTTGCTGTCTACGATTTTAATTACTTCAAGGACAACTCTAACTTTAATAAAACTGGAATCAAGATTTTACACAATATCTCTCAGGATATCATGCATTCACGACATTACTGTGCCATCTTTCCCCCAGCTTTTTGCAAGGGAAAGAATTATTTACTGCTTACAACTCATGTGTCAGGCATCAGAGTATGCACAAGAGGTTATCAAGATAAAAAAAAAACAGGAGTAGAATTCTAAAATGTATTGAGATGTAAATATGAAAAATAGTCCCTCCATGCAATATGTGATGATACCTCCATGTGGTTAGGAAGAGCCAAACTCTTATGCAGTATATTATAACAGTGAAGAAGATTAGAATAATATTCTACTCACTTGAAAATTTCATACTGCTTAGAGTTCCTTTCATTTCCAAACAGGGAGACCAGTACATGTCCTGTGACTTTCTGTCCAGACAGGGTGACAGTCACCTGGTACCTCCAGCCTTCAACAGCAAAATTGTCACAGGATATCAGTTGGAGAGCGAAAACAGATTAATTCAGATCCCACTGCATTAGAACTTTGGAAAATTTATACACAATGTTACCAAGTCTACTGATGGCACAGTCTCAAGTCTCTCCTATTTAGGGGTTAACCCTGATGAGTGAGAGTCGTGTAGAAACTTCCAAAATTCATACAGTTTGATTTTCAAGTCAAAGGACTAAGACATATATTTTGCTTTCAATTTAGTAATGTGGCAATTCAGTGTTCAGTGTTCTAAGAACTCTACCTTAAAAGGTCATCAGAAAATAGTAGAATGGGTCATTTTGCTTTATTTTTATTGATTACCAAGTTTTAGAGTCCTGCCATGTTTTTGTGTAAGCAAGCTGTATTTTTTCAAATTCTATAATTCCATTTTGCATTAGCCTTGGAAATAAACCAAGTTAGACAATCAAAAGAAGGTTGCCTTGGTGTAGTCAGTTGTGAACGTTAGTCTGTGCCTTTAACACTAGCCTGGGCCAAACTGGAGGGAGAATAAATTTTGTCTTCAGTTTTTCTAGGACTGTTAACCCCATTCACACCCATCCTAGTAATTTTCTTCCTCCATCATCCAGAGAAGAAACCAGCCTGTCTTTATACCTCACCATTCCACACCCCATCCCCTGCCCAGCTCCCATGGGTCTACTATCCTAAATATGTCTCTTCTCTGTCAATTCCAACTGTCCCAGCCATCTTAGAGATCACTTTCTTTTGTTACAAAATCTCAAAATTCTGTTCAACAAAACTTATGACTGAACACAAGAGTATGGAGCAGAGGAAGTCTGCTGAATCCTGCTCCATGATAAAATGTGGAGAAGTTTGTTTTCATTTCATGAGTATCCCAGGTGATGTGCCGTGCCCTGCTACTCAGACCACATCATTACATTGTGTGGCACTGGGCATTTTACACAGTGTGGAGCCATGCTTAAATCTTCCACACAGAAATCAATTTCACACATTATCAATGAGCATGAGAAAATATCTTGTACTTGGAATATAAGGTAAATAAAATATAAACTTACGAGCAAAATTACTGGCATCACCAGTGTTTAGGTAAAATATCTGGCCCACTCTACTTGTTTTCCCAGAATATCTGTCAGCGTAATGACCCATCTGTGGGCACCCTCCACTCGGGCATGGGAAGCACTTGTCCTAGGGAAAGCAAACGATGAATGAGGATGTTCTTTCCTTGATAGTGAACCATCTTGTTACAATGGAAGCATTCTGACTTGCATGTATTCATCTTCCCTTTTGCTTCTCTAGCTTAGCCTCTTTACCCTAAGACATCCATTTGTCTAAAGAATTGTTAGAATTCATTCATTCATTAATTCATTCATTCATTCATTCATGTTTGTACAAAAGATACAACCTACAGCCTTGGTTGTGGAACTCAAGATTTGGAGCATGATAAGCAGGAGCTATATCCTCAAAGAGTAGAATTTATTTTGAAAAAGCTGCATAAGTCAGAGTAGCAGGTGACAATCAGCAACTGATAGGAACACTGGACTCCCCTCAGAGGGTGGGAGGCTCAACTTAGTCCTTTCTCAGTTCCCATGGCTTTCACTTAGGATGTGACTGCAAATTCACAACTTAGAACACCCCCTGACATGTAGAGAAAAATCATAGAGTTAACTGTTAAAGCTTAACCAGGTGTCTGGTGACTGAAGAAGACAGAAGACAATGTCCTCCCCTCCCAGGACAAGAGTTTGTGGTAAAAGAGATGGAGACGGGAGAACAGTCTGTGGAGACACAAACAGCCCCACTGCCCCCCCTGCCCCCCACACCACCACAGAAGGCATCTCCACAGGAAAGGCTCATGGGGAATTGAATCGAGACAAGATGATGGGGCTGACAGAGGCTAAGGGGAGACTGTACCACTGTGAAGTGGTTGAATGCACTTGGAAGAAAGGTGACAGGAGTGGCCCCATCTTCATCATGTGTTCTGTGAGCCATGCTTTGAACTTGCTGACACACTGAAAGAAAGTTATTTACTAAGAAGCGTATCCTGATTAGACCCAGGGTTTGGCCAAAGTAGGTCCATGTAAGACAGTGAGATATAGAAGCCCATTTATCTTCTCATCATAAACAACCTTGTGACTCATTCAAGTTCCAGGAGGACCCTGGAATCATGCTCCCATGGATCCACTCTGATGTCTCCTGGAGCAGATGTTCTTCAAACCATTATTTGAATATGCAGCAAATATCCCCTCTTCTTTCCCTCCACCCTCTTCCCCTTTCTATCATCCAAGCCTCTATGGATGGCCCCAAGGGAATTTATGAAGCCAGAAGAGTAGGCAGGCGCTAGACTTCATCTCAAACTGCCGAGAGTGTAACATCAGTAAGACAGACAGGGATATGGCTCAGAGCCCAAAGTCACCAAGAGACCATGTACCAAAGGACTACTGTGTACTATCAGCCACTGTCTATATAGAACACACACTTACAAGTCACCACTAGGATGATGTGACCCTGTGGTGATATTTTCTTTGTGCACCCCAATAAAGCTTATGTGAGGATCAGAGGAAAAAGCCAGCCACTATAGTAAACATAGAAGTCAGGCAATGGTAGCACACACCTTTAATCCTAGCATTTGGGAGGCAGAGATCCGTCTGGATCTCTGTGAGTCCAAGGCCACACTGGGAACAGAGCCAGGCATGGTAACACACGCCTTCAATCCCAGCACTAATCATAAAGGTCTCAAGGTCTGTACAGACAGACAGGAAGTGATGTAGCTGGGCAGAGAGAGGAAGTAAGAGGGCTTGGAAAGGCATATAGGCGTGGATATACAGGAAGTGGCTCTCTCTGGAGGCTGAGGGTTGGTGAGGTGATGTTGTCTGCGGCTTGTCCTATTCCTCTGATGTCTCGGTTTTCACCCCAATATCTGGCTCTGGGTTGTTTTTTTTTTATTAATAAGACTACTTAGCAATTCATCTTATACGACCCTGTACCAACCCCTTAGATGCTAAAGAAGTAGGTTCAAGGCAGAGACATTCATGAGACCAAGACACTATTTTATAAAAGTGCTAAGTGCCCTCTAAAGGGACCTTTGCGCCATTGAATCTGCCCCTGCACTAACCAGGTGACACCTGAAGCTTTCACTTTTTTTTTGTTCTCTCTTTTCCATCCTTGGGTATCAGAAGCGTATTTCTAGTCACTGTATAGTCTTACTGTACTTGTGAATTAGAATAGATTCCATTTTTTTTCATAATAACCAACATTTACTAAATAATGATTATTGCCACTTTTGCTTTAGGGGAATTAAAATAAATCATCTCATTAGCATTTCTTCTCAAATATGTTTAGATGCCATTATTATTTGCATATACAGATGAAGGAATGTCTTAAAAAAAGGAGTGACTGATTTTTTTCTAGAGCTTTTCAGTTAAACAGTGAGAGCTAAATTTTGATCTCTTCTTCAACCACCAGAGCATACTTCTTGGTAATTTTGACTGCCTTGATGTATTCACTTGAAACTTTCTTTATTAAATTACACAGGTTAGAGATATTTATTTGAAAAGAATAGTGTGGGAAGAAAAGTCAGTCTTGTAAGAAACATCCAGGCAAACCAGGCACAGCACATTCTAGAACATATAAGAGTCTAACCTCGGTGTCAAGATAAGAAGCAAAAAGACTCAAAGTCATATCAGCTATTGTGAGAATTCCCAGAATCTCCACACGGCCACAACTTCACAATTTAAAAGGTCAGGAGTCAAAGATAATTTTCCATGCTCATCATGTCCTATCAACACAGCTCAGATGTCTGCAGGTTCTTTCCTTCATTTAGGATTACTTCTAAGACAAATGCTTGCACCTGCCACATACACAAGTCATTATGTCTTTGAACTGAATTCTCTGAAGCCCTTGAATACTTCGTATTAAGGTGTATTCCCCTATCATAATATGAAAGCACAAACATTCACTGAATGATGTCATGTATAGTGAACCACACAGGTCTCATTGAAATGCAGCTACTTACTGAAGTGAAGTCACTGTATGAGGCACAAGGGAACCCAGCGAAGCCCGTTGGGTTGACAATGCTGTCTGCATAATACTTGTAGCTTCTTAAATGATTACAGGCCACAAAGTCACGACTCCCTGTAGAGTTAGACATGATATCAATGACAGATTTTATTTTTCTAAAACTACCACTGTGATGAGGATATAGGGTATGGGATAGACTTCTCTAATGGGTGTGAACTCCTGACAATCACAGCATAAAACCATTTATGAAGTGTATTCATGAAACGAGATGTGATCTGAAGTTCAGCACTGCTTAAGATTAAAATAATGAACGTTGTTAAGTGAAATGGAAAAGTAACTAGAGAAGAGAAAGATTGGTCTGTATAGACATAAATGCAGTTTAGTAATATGTTCCCTGAATTAGGTTCTTTAGAAAATGTTTGCATTTTTTATTTATTACTTTTTAAAGTATGTGTGTGTGTGTGTGTGTGTGTGTGTGTGTGTGTGTGTGTGTGTGTGTGTATAGATGCATGGAGGTCAGAAGTTATGGACACCCCTGGACCTGGAGTTACAGGTGGTTGTGAGTGTCAGTGGCATGGGTGCTGGGAACTGAACTTAGGTCCTCTGCAAGAGCAATATGTGTCCTTAACTGTTAAGCCACTCCAGTCCCCTGAGTTAGGTTCTTGAAATGTCCACTGATAAACTATATTTCTCAAGGTCTCTGATGCCCCTTTGTCCCTGTGGAAGTCTATATATAAGGGATGTAGTTAGAGACCTCTGTTGTATAAAATTAGAGGCTGTGTGGCATCAGCAAGTTTAAAAACATGGAGTAGAGCTGTCTGTTCCCCGGTAAAAAAAAATCTTGGTCTCCATGATAATGTTACCTTCCCAGATTCCATCCATGTCAACAATCTGAGAGAGAGCATTCTTCTGGCATCCAGGCATTTCTTCTCCTCCATTTGGGAAGAAATCTAAGTGACCCACAGTTTGGCTCATTCCTAATCCTGAAGAAGTTTTTAAAAGCAGGGAAAGGTTTATGTTACTTATTGATGCCTTAAGACATTCTTACTTGTAAAGTGTGTGCCCAACATCTGGGTTGGCAGGTTTTAGGACTCACCCATGTTGGGGATCATAGGGGCAGAATCTGTGTGAATTACATCCACAAACTGGGCATCACTGGGGTCCAATCGGACAACTTCAGGTGTATTCTGAAAGTAAGGTTCAGCTGGATCCAGCCCTAGAGCAAATAAGCTGTGTTGTAAATTATGTTGGTGTTCAGGTGAATCCAACTTTCTTCAGTAGTTCCAGACCTGAGTACAAACACTGGCTGTAATCCCCAATTACCCATGGGAGAAAGAGACCACATCTTCCACCCACCACTTTCTGAAGAGGAAGCTGCTTCTAGGTTGTTTTCTATTTGTTTGGAAGTGAATTTGCTCTACTTAAGGATGTCTAGTCCCTGAGAGAATGCTGGTCACTGGCAGCAGAGAAGAGGTTGACCACAAGAGACAGTGGACTATAAAGCTGTTCAGGCTCAGTGTTCCCAACAGACAGTAAATTCACAGAAGAGTAAGACCCGAGAATGTCATAGCTCCTCACTGAGCAATAGGAAAGAATATTCTGGAAGAATGTCTGTTTTCATCAAATTAATTGATAGAAATTTGAAATAACCCCCATCAATCTAATGTAACTAACTTTTTAAAGTGTATAAAAAAGGAGAGGGGCCAAGGAGATGGTTCAATGAATAAAATTCTTGCCATATAAGCATGAGTTAGGCTCCCCAATATCCACATAAAAACTAGGAGCAGCACCCCACCTCTGTAACCCCAGCACAGGAGCTATGAAGGCAAGAGGATCCTCAGAGCTCACTGGCCATTCAGTATAGCCAACTGGTGATCACCTGTCTCCAAAAATATGGTAGCATATGCCTTTAATCCCAGCACTCTGGTGACAGAGGCTGGCAGATCTCTGGGTGTTCACTGCCAATCTGGTCTATTTAGCAATTTCCAGGCCAACCAGGGATGCATAATGAAACCTTGTCTTATGGGGTGGGGGAGAGAAGACACCAAATGTATCTTTTCTTTGAACATACGTGGATGATTCCCCCTCCCCCCCCCCCTCTCTCTCTCTCACACACACACACACTATACATACATACAAGCTTTAAAAAGAGAAAAAATTGTTGGGTCAACACATAGAGTAGGAAGGCAGAGAGGAAGTTGGTTGTTCCCTTAGTGTCCATGCCTCAGATCTAGGACAATGTCTTCCTCACGTAGTTACCTGAATAGACAGCATGTGCAAAAAGGCCCTCTGAGTACAGGTAGCAGCACCCAGAGGAGTCAGGGTGGTTCCCTTCCCTGCAGCCCTGCCTTTGCCGCTGACAAGGCTCAGGGTCATCACGCATCCATATTGAAACAGAATCCAGTAACTACACGTATTTTAGCGATGGGTTAGACCCCATTGCTGCACGTGAACCTCACCTTTTGTGACAATCTGACCATGGAGGAAATAAAGGAACAATGCCTCCCGTTGCCCTTGAGTCTCACTTTAGATGCAGTAACGATACTTTTTAAAGAGAATACTGTAACCCAAGAGTCAACGTCAATTACCAAGTCCTCAGGTCTGATCAGACCACCCAAGCGTGACAAGCTAGGTAGGACTCTGCTCCAGATTTCCCTCCTGACCTTCCTTTTGGATCTCACAGAGACCACATGTGGTCTAATTTTGTAGCTTTTATTGTTGTGACCAACCTGTGATTCGTCCAATGGCCCCATTCAACCTCTTTCCAGCCTCGCCAGCAACATGGGAACCCAGACTGTGGCCAATGAGGTGAACATTGGAGGGTGAGTATCCAAAGTCAGACTGTGGGGGAGGGAAGCAATCAGATGGTCATCAAAACGCCTGCCGCTCTGTGTGTCTCCCTCTGTGTCTGTCTGTCTCTCCTCTGTGTCTGTCTGTCTCTCCTCTGTGTGTGTCTCTCCCTCTCCTCTGTGTCTCTCCCTCTCTGTGTGTGTCTCTCCCTCTCTGTGTGTGTCTCTCCCTCTCTGTGGGTCTCTCTCCCTCTCCTGTGTGTGTCTCTCTCCCATCTGTGTCTCTCCCTCTGTGTGTCTCTCTCACTCTCTGTGTCTCTCTCCTCTGTGTCTGTCTCTCCTCTGTGTCTTTCTCTCCCTCTCTCTGTGTCTCTCCCCTCGGTATATGTCTCTCTCTCCTGCCTCTGCCTCTGAATTAAAAGGCACACACCCACACCTCTGAATTAAAAGGCACACACCCACACCTGGAAAGTCATGTCTCTTTGGCAGTCATACTTTTGAACTGAGTGCATTTTTCTACAGACATTTGCTGTGTGATGCCAGTTCTTCTCTGAAGACTTTGGAAATTCATGGGAAAAAAAACCCTGACAAGTTCTTTTAAAAATAGGCTTATGAAGAAACCTTAATATTATATTGTATTTTTTAAGAATTTCCAAAATTCCAAAGAGGCTATGGATGGACTCTAGGAACTTATACTTCCACACTAAGCAGGAAACCAAATGGCTTATATGGGCTGAGACTGACGAACTATGACTTTCTTTTGGAAACATTACTGATGCTTTTTTATGTTTTGATTTTTCTAATTGAAAAATTTTAATGTTATTTATATCCTATAGCAATTTTGGTAAAATATACTATGTGAACAACAATTAAAACATTAATTTTCTTTTTGCTAACTGATCCCTCAATGGTTCAGAAACTATTTTGTGTAAATTCTTATTTCTATGGTAATATAGTTATTTGTGTAAGTTCATTAAGAATTTGTTATCTTTCTTACAGGGTACATTTTGTAGCAACAGTTATATGACAAAAGCCTTAACCAGAATACTTATTTCCTGACGTGGTCAGACAACCTGAAGGGACTGAGGTTGGTTTATGGATTCTACAAGAATACCCACTACTTCCTGTAAAAGCTGCCTAGGCATCTTCAATACACATTTCCATTATAGTATTTCTAGCCTCATAGTGAGTCAAAGGCCATGTCCTGGACGTCCCAGGACTTTAAAGTTATGGTGGAGACCTTGAGAAGAGAAGACTTCATTAGGCACGCTTTAGCACTGAATGCTTCAGGTTTATGGATTCTACAAGAATACCCACTACTTCCTGTAAAAGCTGCCTAGGCATCTTCAATACACATTTCCATTATAGTATTTCTAGCCTCATAGTGAGTCAAAGGCCATGTCCTGGACGTCCCAGGACTTTAAAGTTATGGTGGAGACCTTGAGAAGAGAAGACTTCATTAGGCACGCTTTAGCACTGAATGCTTCACTTGGCTTCCTAGTCTTAAAAGGCTTTTAATGTCTAATATAAGATTTCTTATAAAAAAAATTCCTACAAGGGCCTGAAGTGGTGGCTCAGTGGTTGCTAACACTGGCTGCCCTTCCAGATACCCAGGACAAACACGACAACCCATAACCATCTGTACCTCCTGTCCCATGGGGTCCAACAACCACTTCTGGCCTGTGATGAGACCACATAGCAAGTGGTGCATGGACATAATGCAGGCAAAATATACAACCACACATAAAAAATTCCAGTAAACAGAGTTTAAAAAGAGTCGTTCATTGTTCTCTGTGCATTTGTCAAATAATCAAGCCAAGCACAATGAGACTAATTTCGTTTTGACAACAAATGAGTCTCACTACGATTCTTTGGTAGATAGGGGAAGACTGCCGAGAAAAAGAAATATATCCTAGATGAAAGGCCTGTAGCAAATAGATATTACATTCTAGCCCAGTTTTGGGTGATGTTTTGGTTTGTTTTTAGATTTTATTATTTAGCGCTAAACTAGATTAAATCCTGAATTCTCTAACTTTCTCCTAATATCTGATTGCAAGCTACAAACTAACAGTTCCAATTTTCTCCTACTTTTCTGACTTGGGATCATGGAAATCAACAATGGGTGTTTTTCTTGAAGCCTGGAAATGGAAGCTGGGTGGTATTTAAGCTAGAAATCGAATCTATCGGGTTTCTACTACCCACCCTTGCTTCAATTGAAGATATTTTGAACTAATACCTAAAAAAAATTTTATCATCTGGCTACCCTTCACATTCAGAAACTAATTTAAATGCTTCTATTATTATTAGCTTTTATTTTTATTTTGTTTCCATGGAAATGCCACTTATTTGCAATCTTTGTGTTGGCACCACACAGAGACCCAATAATAATGGAGTCTGCCTGTAGCCTCACCTCCCAAGAGAAGCTGGGTTGTGCTGCTGAATGGACCTGACTGGCCTTAGGGCCAAGAGATCAGTTACATGTAGGAGGGGACATTCGAATTCCTTCTTTTCTCCTTGTGCCAATCTATGCCCCCTCCCCACTTCTTTGCCAATCTCATTTCACAACCTTGAACTCAACTCTCCAAAGAGCTGCCAAGTTGGCCTTTAGTAGCAAAATATTCTGGAAATAAAGCTTCAAATTGAGGACTCAAAACTAAGCTCTGCTGCCACAGAACCTCTTTGACATAAACATCTGATTGAGGTCCTGGTTCATGGGGATGGTGTAGATGTTCCTGTGAGAAAGATGTCTTCTTTGTACTAATGTGAGATGGCGCTCGTCACCAGGGACCGGAATTCATGCCGCAGTGGGGAAGTGTAGACTGGCTAAGATCACTCCACTCCTATCAGCGTCCCTCCTCTCCACACTGGTGCTCCTGGAATTTTCCACCCCTGTCTGAGAGACTTTTGTTCTGACACTTCTTTTTTTTAATTTTAATTTTTTGGTGTTTCTTTTCTTTTTTTTTATTAAGAAAATTTTTCTATTCATTTTACACACCAAAGATCCCACTCTTCACAAAAATTTTCATACTTTGTTTAAAAATCATGAAAGTTTTTTATTATTTTGCCATCTATTTCAGTCTTTTCTCTTGTGACTCCAAGTGCATGAAAAAACCAATAAACATTACAGATGTTTCTCCCATTAATCTATCTTACTTTACTTTCATTCCTAGACTCCGCCTAAGAAGCCAAATAAGAACTGAGATGGGTAGATTCAGTCTAGAAAAGCTGCCCTACAGAAGAGTCTCTCCAGCAGATTTTCAGTTATTGCAGAATTCAAGACAGGTCCATACGGAGATTCTCTCTAAACTGGAATTTTAGACATTCTGCCCTGTCAAAGTCTTTCATTTTTAGTTTTCAGACAATCAAAATAAAAAATTGAAATGGATTTAGACTACTATTAGTAAAAATTGGTCTGTCTTTTGCTCTATCATGGTAAAAAGAGAACCAGTGAATGAGAGGTGTTACTCAGAGGTGATGAAGGAAGAATTGAACTAGAAATGCAACTATCAAATCAAATTCAAGTTTAACATTTTCTATTTCAGGTTACCCAGTCAGGTTAGCTTCAAATCTTTGTGCTTCTTTAAAAAATATAGCTAGCTTAATCTTGAGAACAACATTTTCATTTCTAATAACCAACAAAACTAGAACAAACAGAGTATGTTAAAATTCACTAGAAACAACCTCCACACTGTTTTTGCAAACTCTCTTAAGTAAAACAATCAATCAAACAAACAAACAACTTTCTGAGAAGTAGATTTTTGGGTGAACCCAAATCTAGATTGCTTTGCATTATTGTCTCAACTAGGTGGAAGGCCAAATCTCAGTACAGGGGTGTCTTCATCAATTGTCATACTTGCTTCAGGGTAGTGGCCTGAGCAAGAACTATTTTTGACATGGCCCCACATCACAGAAAACAAAAGCAAAAATGGCAAGTGGGTTATATCAATTTTAAAAGTCTCTCCATGAAGAAACCCACAGAATAAGATAAAATATTTGCAAACTGTAAAATCAACAATAAGATATATCCAATGCAGAAAAGGTGCTCAAATAATTCAATAGCAAAAAGGGAATGATCTGATTTCATGAATGGGAAATATGACAAAATAGACATTTCTCAAAAGATATACAGATGGCCAACAGGCATGTGAAAAAGTGTTCAACATCATCAGTCATCAGCAAAAGGCAAATCAAAACCATGGTGAGCTATCTCCTAATTCTAGTAAGAATATCTAGTGGGAGGAAGACCAAAGATACTACATGCTCTCAAGAGTGTGGAGAAACAAAACCCTGCAGTGTACTGAGGGAGACTGACTGCATGGTCACTGTGGAAAGTACCACAAAGAGTTCTCAAAAGGTTAAACAGAATTATCATATGACCCAACACCCCTACTGTTGAGTGTGGTAAAAGACACCTGCACTCCTAATGTTCATGCAGCATTATTCATAACAGCCAAGAAATGGAAACGTCCTAAGGGTCCATCAATTGAAATAAATAAATAAACAAAACATGGCATGTATACACAGTGGAATAGGACTTGGTCATGACAAGGGTGACACTGTCATTTGCAAGACCATGGATAAATCCATGTCAAGTCAGGCATAGATAGAAATGTACCACATGATCTCACCAACATGTGGACTAAAAGGAAGTTGATCTTGTAGAAACGGAGGGGTGGAACTGTGATTATGAGAGGTTAGGAAGCATAAAAGTGGAGAGAAATGGGAAATTATTGATCAATGAGCACTAAGTAACAAGCAGGTAAGAACCTCTGGGGTAGTATTGCACAGTGAGGTGAGCGTAGACTATAACATGTAAATAAATCTCAAAACCTAGAAATGATAACAGATGACTTCACCTTAGACACGTGTATTTATCTTGATTTGAACACAACAAAGCATACATTGCATGGAAACACTACATGGTACGCACTAAATATGTTCAATTTTTATGTGTCAGCTAAAATATGTTGAAATGTGAAGTGCTCATATCTATAATTTTCTTAGGTAGGAGAGTTGAGAAAACAATGGGTGTGGGTTTTTAAGTAATCAGGAAGCACTCACCTGAAAGGCCTTAACCAAATATGCAATTTCTGCACCTACGATTTGCACGTTCTGTGTTGCCTGAGTGTATCCAGTTCGAGAGCCGCCTTTCCAGTCCACACAGATGCAGTTTGCACTTTCCACCTGGAAGATGTTCTGATAGGAAAGGCAACAAACAAGAATATAAATAATCCAGGACCTGGATTTGTTACTAACACATTTAAAGACTGGGTAAATTCTCTCCTTGACCTGAACAGTATCATGCACATACTTTTTAAATCCAAAAGTTATGACCAGAACACATAGTTGGTAATGGACATAGAATTCTTCCTCAAGTCTAATGCTGACTCCAGACTGAGGCATGGCCCCACGGGAACTGCATTCTTGATATTTCACCTGCAGCAGATGCAGAGATGTTTTTTATTTTAAAAATGTAAATGGCACAGCTAGTTATCTAATTAGTGCATTCCCATGTCTTAGAACTCCACTATGTCTTACTAGAAAGCTCTCAAGGATACTGCCTATTTCTCTCATTGCTGTATCCTCAGTGTCTACAAGTCATGGAGCACAGTGAGTGCCCAATAAAAATCAAAAGGATCTCTTATATATGAAGACACAGTAAAGCTATTGGAGCAGGCTTTTCCATACTGGGAGTCGAATCTGGTTTTGGATCAGCATATTGTATTGTACATCACTGGAGTTATTTCACAGGAAAGCACCATCTGCCATATGTCTACTGGAGTCTATGAATAACTGAATCAACAACAATATTCCTTCATTGCTAAGGAAACTTATCCAATTGGTTTTCTCTTTTTACTGTCCATTATTACTAGGAACAGAGCCAAAGACAAATGAAAGAAAACAGAATCATAGCCACAAAAACATCAAAAGCAGACATGAAAGCCCTCAAAGTATTCCTAGACATGGCTAGCAGAGGATCTCAGGACACCTAGTGAAAATTAAAAGAAAAAGTTTGTGTGAATGGAGTCCCTTAGCTCTTCATACAGAAATTCAAGGACAGAGAACAAATGGCTTTGTGATCAACTGGGAACCATGTATGTGGCAGCTTCTCCTGGTAAAGCAAAAAACGTCCCTGTATGCATTATCCAATGGTCACTGCCTGGGCCAACCTCACTGTCCTGATTGTCCACCCTTGCCACCCCCCCTCCCTCTCCAGTGACAGCCCCGGCTCAGCAGGCCTCAGAGGCATCCCTGTGTTGTGGTAACCAGCACTCTTCTCAGATGCAGGTCCATCCGCTTCTGCGACTGCCTCCTTTGGGGGAGTGCCCGCCCTCACCTCGCAGATATTGGACAGCCAACTGTCTTCTCCCTTGTCTGTGAATCCATGAATGACGAAGTGGGTTTTCCTGCTTGTTTTGAAATGGGAGTTCCTGATACTTGAAGCATCTGCAGTGATCACCTGTTTGCCAAAGTATTTCAGGTCAAGTTCTAGTAGGTTACAGATAGGCAGGGACTATTGGGATTTGAGATCCTTGGAAATAAGAATTCTCATATTATAGCTAAACTAATGAATCACCTAAAAGTCGACACTAAAACTGTGCAGCTTTGAGATTATGTAGCCACTATAATATTGGTGGTGAGGCTCTTTGTTGCACGTAATGAAAGTGTGTGTGTGTGTGTGTGTGTGTGTGTGTGTGTGTGTGTGTGTGTGTGTGTGTGGTGTATATACTCACACACATATGTGTCATAAATACATATACTCGGGATATATGTACTATATATGTATTATATATAATAATGGGAAATATGAAATAATATGGAAAGATACTAGAGGTAGTAGAACATTTGCAAATGTTTATAACTTTTAAGTTAAATAGACTTTTCCTTGGAAGTCTGTGAAGATACAGATTTCACTATCTGACTGATCATCCCCAGAAGCCTTGAATATGTATTTTCTACTATGGTGTAAATATCCCTTTCAAAACATGTGATGTTCACTGGTTATTGTGGCAGCATGAGGCTGGGCCTTTAGGAGGTAACTGCATAGCTCTTATAAGTGAATTGATGGGATCATTGTAGGTTTGTTTAGTTATTGTGGGAATGAGCTCCTGATAAAAGGGTACATCAGCTCCCTCCCACCTCTCTCTATCTCTTTCTATCCCTTTCTCCCTCCCTCCCTCCCCGTCCCTTCCCTCCCTCCCTCCCTCCCTTCCTCCCTCTCCCTTCTATTTTGTGCTGAAATGGGAAGACTTTCACTAGATCACACCTTGAATTTTGGACTCCCTAGACTCCAGGCTTTCATCCAAATGAATGTATATGTTTTATAATTTACCAAATTAATGATACTATTATACCACTCTGCTTCCCCCTCCAAAAATGACTAAGACAGAAAATTGATCCCAGGAGTGGGGTGGTCATAATAAACACCTAAAAACGTGGGTGCTGCTCTAGTACAGGGTACAGAGTAATTAGTACAGAGAAGCAAACTCAAAATCACCCCATTTTTATCATGAATGGAACATGGAGCAGTATTAGTGAGCACTCTCCAGGATAGTATTGGTAAGCACTCTGAAAGAGGGTAATGACTGTGGTGGAGATATGACATTTTTAGAGATTGCTAAAGTGGTTATGATCAGTGTGCTGATGGAAGTGTGGACAAAAAAAGTCATTTTCATGAGATATCAAATAGAAATGGAGAGAGAGCAGTGCACTGTAAATGGGAGAAAAGGCCATCTTCATTTTATAGTTACAAAGAACTTAGCTGAATTGTGTTCATGTTTTAGGACTTTATAAAACACAGAACTTAAAAGCAATAGACTATTTGGCAGATGAAATATCAAGGAAGCAAAGTATTCAGGCTTCTACGTGGGCACCTTCACTGCAGAAGCCTATGGAAGAAGAGCAATTTCAAGGTGCAAGTTACAACAAGAAGAGAAGCAAAAGAGACAGACTGGGAAAATGTGCAGCCCGGGCATTTAAAAGAGTGAATGGGAGGCTTTAGGAGAGCAGAACAGGCATGTGCCCGTGACAGATTTTCCAAAGGATGGTTACGACTTGGGGGCCAGGTGACATCCATTAGAATGATAGAAGAAAGAGCAGGACATTCCCAAGATCTCGGAGGACAAGAGCTCTGCAAGAGGTAGACTTGGACCGTTGTCCATGGCCTTGCTGATATAAGCTGTGTTAAGTCTCAGAGGTCACAAGAGTAGCTCACTTGTGGTTCAAGTGTGACTCAGGCCACCCCTCTAGAGGAAACACTCAGTAAATCTTGTTTATGTACATGTGATATTCTCCTCAGGCTTGCAGAATGCAAGGGCTGAGAGGCATTAACTTTCATCTAGACGTGAGAGACATTTGTGGATAGCCTGGGGTCAAAGACAGACTATGACATGAGGTAGAAGCGCACAGAGAACCCTGACTAGAGCAGTGCCTGATGGAGTCCCTGAGCCCTCAGAACTGGCAGCATGTTAACACCAGCCCAGCAGATCTGTAGGTATGAGGCTCAGGCCTATGAGAGGTGCTGTGTAGACTGAGCCCTCAAAGCAGTAAGTATGGTTTGGAGGCCCAACCCTTACCCGAGAATGTTCTGGAGGTTGTTTGTAAAGCAAAAAGTTACTTTTGAGTTTAATGATATCCCTGCTCGGTTTGGAGGTGGATAATCTCTCTTTTCTGGGATCTTTCTTCCATTTGGAACAGAAATGTCTGTCCTATGCCTGTGCCATAAATGTATTTTGGAAGTAGACATCTTTTTTTACTCTCACAGGCTCAGGACTGAAGGACTTGTCAGAGGATGAATCATGCCTTGGGTCTTATCTACATCTGGTGTTGATGGGGCTTTGAGCTTTGGGACAGGAGAGAATGAGGGGATGTGTTAAGGGGTCCTGCAGATAAAGGGGCATGTCGTGTGTGGAAGGAAGTGGATGTGAGGAAGTCAGGATAGAATTATTGACATGGTTTTAATGTCACCTCTAAAAAAAGCTAAAACTTTAGTTATCACTGACATGACGTTAAGAATGAGGGCTGTTAATGGGTGGTCAGGTCACGAGGACTCCGCCTCCATGAGTAGGTTATTGCTAGCACTAGAAGAATGGAGTGGTAACTGCAAGTGTAGGTTCCTCAGGAGACAGTGCTCTGTCTGCCCTCCTTATCTCTTCAACACTTTCCCACCACATGATGCTCTTCACTATCTTGTGATGCAATGTGAAAGCACTCAGCCAGGGGCTTTGAGGGTCTACACCTTTGATCCCAGAGTCCTCTTCTTCTACATCTGTGAGCCAGGCAAACATTAAATTCTAAGTCATTTACTGTAGGATTCTCTTATGGAAGCATAAAACACGTCTAAATAAAATCTGTTCTCTTACTTGGTAACTGTTGGGGTTCTCATTAGTGTACAGGAGGAAACGGGTGTTGACAAGAGTTGGAGACCAGGGCAACACTTTGAGAGGTCTTTCCAGAGTTCCTCCATATGGATAATCATCACTAAAGCAGCCGAGTCTATTGTAGCAGACTTCTCGTCCTAAAATCACCCAGTGTGTCAAGGCATTAGTTTAGTCAGAATGTTAATGGTCTCTCAGGCAAAATATGAGTTAAATTTCATCCTGTGGCAGACCCAAACACCCTCCTGCTCACACTCAAAAAACAGCCTAACAGGACAGTGCCTCTGTGGCAGACAGCCTGCTGGTCCTCACTTCTGCCTCAGGGACCATGGTGTTCCCCTCATATCTCTGCCTAGCCCCAGTGAGGGACTCATTTCAGCTTCTCCACTCAGTTGTCTGACCACTGATGCCCAGAAACAGGGGTGCCTTGTGTCCCAGTTCCTGATGGACGCTGTGTGTATGTTGGCTCTCAACTACCAGTGGCCACTATTTGGCTTTGTACTTAAGGTGGAGACATGAAGTTCCGTGCAAGAGCCAAACTTTGTGTCTCCATCTCGGCTGAATATGTTTGTGGACTAGGCTGGATCCTGTGATGAGGAAAGCACAGGACATCTGGGATTTCACACAGCTGTAGGCTGTTTTGCTAGTCTAAGAAGGGGGTCTGGAGCAGTATCAGGACCAGATTAGTGACAGAGTAAGCATGACAGCAGCTATGAGGAATGCATTTCTCTAAATCTTACTCTGTACCTGATGCTGGACAAGATGATTCTTTTATCTTAAGCATCATTGTCATCTTGAGAGAGATTTCATTATCTGTATTTCACAGACCAAGGTACCAAAGCTCAGAACGGGTAAGGATTATGGACTATTCTCAGGGTCATAGAGTTAGTTAATGAAAGTGTTTGAAACCCTTGCCTTGAATCCAAGTTAGGAGTGTTGGTCTTTGAATATAAACATTAATGTTAAAATTCAAATGTTTATCTAAATATTTTTGAGAAAAAGTTAAAAATGAATATATTACACATTAATGCTCATCTGATTTATTTGTGTGTTTACAATTCACTTCAACAGGCCATGGGGGTTTTATCTGGCAACATAACCTAAGTGCTTATGTTCTTACTTCATCAAACTCACTTGACTCCTCATCCTCATCAAGGCTTGAGCCCAGCTGTCACGGTCTTCTGGGAAGAAGCACACAGCAAGCCTCTCCCATCTCCACACACATCTTTTCTTTTCTTTTTTTTTAATTGAGAATTTTTTTTTATCCATTTTACATACCAATCACAGATCCCCCTCTTCCCTCCTCCTGCCCCTCCATCCTTTCTTACCAGCTACGGCTCCCAGCAGTACTGCAAATGTCCACAGCGGCAGCATCTGCACAGAAGGGAAAGCAGGGCTGAGTCTGAGGAACTCGGGTTTCAAAAGATTGACATAATCCCGTTCTCTCAGACTTGGGGGGAAAATGGGTGCAATCTGACTAATTAGTCTCAAAATCGTGTTTCTGACTCACCATGGCGGGTCCGTTAGGTTTCACGGACAACGAGGGAACACTGAGATGTCCTTTTATAGGAGAGCCGTATCTTTCCACGCAGTGTCATGGAAACGTGGCATGAGAAGAGACAGGTTCCAAGTACATATTTCTAATTTTAATCACAGATAAGCCCAGGTTGGTAGAGTAGGTTGTGTTCCAAGGTGTTCGTGGGAAGACGAGAAAGTGCTAGATATGGAATGTTCTCGACAGTGTGCTCATGTACTGCCCAGAACCACCGTCTTTTAAAAAAGAATTAATTATATTTAAAAATTAGCTTACTACTTTATTTACATTTGTGCTTTGGTTTGATAGCCCCCGCTCTCCCACGCCTCTCATTCCTGCGCCCCATCTCACTCCCGTTTCCAACTTCTCCTGTAGTGTGTGTTTCTCTGTCTCTCCACCTCTCACCCTCAGAACATCTTTAACCTTTACAAAAGCTCCATAGATTTGTGGCCTCATTTGCATCACTGCCTTCTGGGCACACAGATCCAACCACGGGAATTTAGGTTCTGCCTATGGTAAAGAACGGACAGTATTTGTGTTTTTACTGTGGGGAAGGCTGTCATCCCCCTTCTTAGTTAACGGTTTAATGTACAGGATTGAGTGTGTGGCCAATTTCCACATATTTGAATAGCAACTTGAACCAGCACACATGGCTTTTCTGTTACCTTTTCCTCCTCTCAAACACAGAAGAAGAGAGGCCATCTTCAGAGGGCACGTTCTCTCTAGAAAAGAAAGTCATGACTTCTGTTAACAGTCTAAAGTACTCAACTATTTCTCGAGAACAATATGCACAAGGAACAAATAAGAAATGGAAGGAGTTATATGTATTGCTGAGAGCGTGGAGGTGTGGTCAGTGAGCCAATCTTTGAAGGAAATTATAAATAAGAGTGGTGGTGATGCCCACAGGCTCAGATATTTGAATGCTTAATCATCAGGAGTAGTACTACTTGCAAAGGCTTATAAGGTTGGGCCTAGTTCGAGGAAGCGGATCACTGGGGGTGGCCTTTGAGGTTTCAAAAGCCCTTGCCAGGCCCAGTCTTTTCTCTCTCTCTCTCTCTCTCTCTCTCTCTCTCTCTCTCTCTCTCTCTCTCTCTCTCTCTCTTTTCTCTCTCTCTTTCTCTCTCTCTCTGTCTTCTTGGATCAGGATGTAGCTCTCAGTTACTTCTCTAGCTCCATGTCTTCCTGCATGCTGCCATGCTCCCTGCCAAGATGATAATAGACTATAACTCTGAAACTGTAAGCCACCTTAATTAAATGCTTTCTTTTATAAAAAGTTGTCAAGGTCATGGTGTCTCTTCATAGCAATAGAAGAGTGACTAAGACAAAGAGAAAAAATAGAAAGCTTTGGGAAAAGCGTTCTGGGAACTTATGCTAAGAAGAAATCTGATAGAACACATTTGGGATTTTTCAGTGTGACAGATTGGTTAAAACAAATTAAATTTCTTTTAATCTTTGCTTATTTTATGTGTATGAATGTTTTGCCTACATGTATGTCTGTGCACCACATGCATGCAGTGTCTGTGGGGGCCAGAAGAAGGCATCAGGTCCCCTGGAACTTGGAGACTGTTGATAGCCACCAGACAGGTATTGGAACTGAACCTGGGTACCCTAGAAGAGCAGCCAATGCTCTTGAGATCTGAACCGTCTCTCCAGGCTTTAAAATAATAAAAATTTAAAGATTTATTTTAGTGTGTGTGTGTGTGTGTGTGTGTGTGTGTGTGTGTGTGTGTTCTGTGTCTGTGTATGTGTATCTATGTGGTATGTCTTCATGTGTGTGTCTGTGTGTGTTTGTGAGTGTGTCTTTATGTGTGTGTCTGTGTGTCTATGTCTCTGTATGTCTGTATATATGTATTTTTGTGTGTGTGTCTGTGTGTTTGTGTGTGTATCTGTGTGTCTGTGTATGTCTGTGTGTGTCTGTGTGTTTGTGTGTATCTGTGTATGTCTGTATGTGTTGTGTGTCTGTGTGTGTGTGAGTGTGTGTGTTTGTGTGTGTATCTGTGTGTGTCTGTATGTGTTTGTGTCTGTGTGTGAGTGAGTTGTGAGTGTGTATGTCTGTATGTGTTGTGTGTCTGTCTGTGTGTATTTGTGTGTGTGTTTGTGTGTATCTGTGTGTGTCTGTGTATATCTGTGTGTGTGTGTGTGTGTGTGTGTGTGTGTGTGTAGCTAGAACGTCTGGCAAAGGAAACATGAAAACAAGATGCAGGGACAGAGTTCCGTGATGGAGTCTTAGCACATCCCCGGCCAGTCCCCCTCTCAGCCCATGCCCTTCTCCCTCAGGATGACTTCTCCAGTCTCCCTCAGGTTGCCACCCAAGGCCTTTAACAGGCCACCCCTTAGCATGTTCCTCACTTAAGACACATCACACCGGGTCCCAGGCCACAGAGACAGAGGGATGGAATTTTCTGGAACACTTTGACACAGTTGAACATGTAGCTGAATGCTTGCTGCATGGCAGGCCCTCAAGTCACTGTTGAATAAATGAACAAACCAAGATAGAATGAACCCAGAAAGCAATGTGATTGCACACTGGCTACAGTAACAACTGCTTACACCATCCAACAACAAGCGACTCTGAGTGTTTTCTTTACCGTCATTTGCCCAATTAAACAAAAGCCACCTTCCCCAAAGCAGCTAAGGGCTGAAGCTTTGCATCTCCATAGCATTTACTCATGGCGACTTTATGTTGAGCCTATAGTTGTGCCCTATAGCAACCAGTGTCTGTTCTGGTATACCATGAGGTTTCTGGTCAAATAGCTCTGTTTGCACAGGAGGTAAGGCTTCCATCATGCAACACCCTGATTCTGGCAGCTTTGTGATACGAAACTTCAGGTGAGGGAAAGAAAGGCCTTGAGACACCTGTGTAGCTGGATAACACAGGCGCCAACCTGGATCTCATTTACCCAGCCTCCAGCGAGCCTGTCCTGAGCCCCCCTTTTATCTAGCCCTGCTATGGCCAAGGCTGTCCGTGTGAAGAAAGACATGTTGACATCAGATTCCAAAGTTCCCTGAGAAGAAAATTCTATGACTACAAAGGGTTGTTAGTGCTTTGTACCTTCAGAACATTGTCTCAGTAACATGCGTCAGCCCCAGAAAGCGAAATGACAGTCAACACTCCACTGTGATTCACTATCTAATCTGTAAGAGAGAATAAGCATGCCTAAATTTCATTGAAGTGTCCGCACATACGCACTTTGGCATCTAGTCCAGTCTATCTCCGAGGGAGGTCTGCTTTCTTCTGAAGATTGTGGAGTGCAGTCTAGAGGTGCACATTTCTCCTGCTAGCCTCAGCAGACCTGTTGTATCAGCGTGCAGAAGGCCAGCGTTCCCTGGGTTGCCTTAGCACAGAACTGATCTGAAGAGTGGTCAGGAGTAAGCACAGCAGTGGTTTAAAATAGGAAGCAAAATTGCAAACATGTTTTTGAGAATCTAGTTTGTTACGATCCAATATTCCTCTCTACTGCTTGAATGCAAATTTTAGTAAATAAAATCTCTGTAATATTAAATATGGCAATTATTTCTTTTCTAGGCCATCACAATAGTTTTTCAAAAATACACTTTTTTTTTTTGCCAGCACCAAAAGATGCATGTTTTATTTCTGGAAAAAATAATGAATTGAAATCATTAGTGTCTTAATCATCCAAACAAGGAATCATGCATATTCACAGCAGAGCCCTGACTTTCTGTATCTGTACGTGTGTTCAGAGAGTCATTCCATTTTAAAAGCTGTACAGCATAATCATGAGGATAAACTTGGAACATGTGTGACATTTCACAAATACCACTCTGATATATCTAGGGCATGTTTACATATTTTAAGACACTATGGTAATTTCCACTGTGAAGAAATATGTTTCTTCTCCAAAACTTTGTAAATGATAATTTTGAATGCATAGGTATATTATTTGGTTAAATGGAACATCATAATCACTTAATATACTACCAGAGATGCACACAGATGTTGCTAATGTTTGAAAACACATTTACTTTTTAAAATGTCATTTGTTTCATCTGTGTGTGTGTGCATGTGACTGTGTTTGCATGGCACAGCACATGCGTGGAAGTCAGTGGACAAACTGTCCTCTCTTTCACCATATAGAGTCTAGGCATCAAACTCAGTTTCTCAGACTTGGCAACAAGCACCTTTCCCCACTGAGCCATCTTGCTGGACCACGTGGCAGTGTTTTTTTTAGCTGCTCCCTCGCCTGTCCTATACATACCATCAGACAGTCAGATGTGCTATGTAGATAGTTCTGTTACTTAAAATCCAAGTTCCCTTTCATTGATCTGTGTTTTCTTGGTGAGCACTGCTTGTGAGGAATGTAATACAAGACACTTTGGGAATGTAAAAGTGGGCCAGTCATATATTTCAGTGTTGAACATATTCCAATGCCTAGCCCTGCCAAAACAACAACAACAAAAACCATGACATAATTTGGACCCATGCTTAGAGTACTGCCCTAATTGAGGGAATGTGTCAGTCAGTCCTTCTGGAAATGCTCTCACAGGTGCAGTGGTTCTCAACCTTCCTGGTGCTGTGACCCTTTAATACAGTTCCTAATGTCGTGGTGATCCTCAGCCATAAAATTATTCTTATTGCTGCCTCACAATTATAATTTTATTACTGTTCTGAATTGTAATGTAAAAATTTTGGAGATAGAAGTTTGCCAAGGGGTTGCGACCCACAGGTTGAGAACCATTGGTCTAGAACCTTCTCCGTTGATTCCAGATCAAATTACCAGTTAAGATAATCAGTCACCCCAGGAGGCAGCCCTTCTCCTTGAAGGTTCTGTAAGTTTTAATGTCTCAGCACTGAATCCCTGTGATCCTAGGCTTTTCTTTGATTGGACATTTCTTTTTACTATTAATTCAATTTCCTGGCTCACTAGTGCTCAAATGTTCTATTTCTTTATTGTTCAATCTTGGTATGTTGTATGTGCCCAAAGTTGATCATTTGTCCTAGAATATACAGTTTTCGGCCTGTCACTGTTATAGCAGTCGCTTGCAACGCTTTGTTTCTCCGTGGCATCAGCTGAAACATCTCCCGTTTCAACTGACTTTGTTTTCTCCCTTTGTGTCTCATTCTAAACAAAGCTCTATCAA